CCCCCCCCCCCCCCCCCCCCCAGTTATTAACCGATAATAACTCCTCTAATATTAATACTAACATCTAATATTAATTGATATAAAGTAGATCCAAAGTGTTGCCTGCTGATGATTACCTGTATGCTTGGGACTCTGTGTATTAAATACACGCCCCTGTGCATGTTCAAACTGTGGATATCCTCTGCATGGTTAGTACTTTTGAAGCATGGGCAGCTGCTGGAGGAGTGTGTGCTCATAATCTCTGTAAAATTATTACTGGGGGCTGGCAGGGGGTGGAGGTTGTCTTTGGGGTGTCGGAGCGGGTCCCAGGAATCGGGGATGGCGCTGTGTACAGTGTGAGCGAGTTAGCAGCCAAAGTTTGCAGAGCGCAGGCAGGAAAGTTCGCTGGAGAGGCGACCCGTGAATCCAAGTTTCTCTGTCATCGGCTGCTACCCACGGATTTCCATGCGGACTACAGACTTCAATTAGCAAGGACTTCTGTGCTGTTTCGTGGGTGTTTTGAGTGAATTTCTCCCTGTCCGTGAGAGTTAACGGATTGCTATGTACGCTGCACCGCTGTCGTTTAAATGGACTATCGGGTATCTTATCATCCAGTGAGTAACTTTGACTAACATTGATTGTATGGTTGCTTGACCTGCAGATAGCCTAAGTAGTGACCATGAGCATAATTTAGGTGTTGACATTATGCCATGTAGCCTTGTCTTGGGTGTTTGAAAACAACGAACTCCCCCTGTGACAAGAAGCTGGCACCCTCATCTCGGAAACACCGACTCATGGCTGCAGCAATGCCCGGCGAGGACAGCCCATTGCCCGGCAACACTTCCAGGATTGATCGGAATGGATTAGGGGGACTGGTCCACTGTTTCATATGTGGAAGCGGAGTGACACCAGGAAAGGAATTGAGGTTACAAGTGGCATACCAAAAAGAGAGGGTTTCTTTTTTCCCGTTTCTACAAAATCAGGAGCCAGCCCCGGGTGCGTGTGAACTGAGCCCGGATGGACATGCGCTGGTGTGCGCCGTGTGCCACTGCTTTCTGACGGAGCAGTGGAACTCCTTTGAGCGGACCAGAACGCCCATTGAGAAGCGCATGTACTGGTTGAAGCGACCCTACCAGTGCGACTCTCGGCGGGTCCCACAGGAGTGGAACATCTCTTACGACCTGGAGAGGAGAATCAGTGTGAGCAGCCAGAACTACGAAGGAGGCGCAGAGTCCGATTTCTCGTCTTTTTCTGAAAACGAGAACATGTCAGACCAGGAGATGGATTTAGTCGACAGAGCCGGCATAAGCAAAGACAAGTGCCTGAGAGCATCTGGCAAATCACCAAGAGACAGTAGCAGGAAGAACAATGTCATCAGTGTTAAAAACAGCCCAGATTCACAGCGGGCAATGCGCTATCCGGTGGGTGTTAATGGGGCGCAGGGATCTCCAAAGGCGGAGAGTGTTCTGCTGGCGAGGCGCAGTGCTAAAATTATGAATAATGTCTGTCAATCATCAGAATCTCTGGCAAAGTCCCAGGAAAGATTCCCTCTACTCTGCTATGGCAGTCCTTTCTCTGACACACCTGTGCAAGACAACGGGGTCATTATGCGCAACAGGCGATGGCTGGAGGAGGGGAATGTCAGACATGCGGAGCCTCGTCAGATTCAGCGTGTTGCTGACAGCAGCTGTGCTTCGTCCAGACATCCATCGCTGCTGTACCGAGGAAGGGGCGAGGATCACCCCAACACGGCCACTGTCACCACTAAATGTAACATGGCTGCTCCCAGGGAGAATAACTCTGACAGCTCAGATGAAGATGAGATTAACATTACAACTGACGATGACACAGACATGTATGAGAGCAAAACAGGCCCAACAACTCAGTTTAGACCTGTCAGAGACCTTTCAGCAAGGACGTCACGTCATGCTGTGGACACCTGTTCAGAGGAGTGTGTTTGCTATATCTGTGGCGCTGGTCTCAGACATGATGGCCGTTTTAAAGTCAGTGTTCAGAAACAGGAGAGGGCCCAGGGCGAGCCCTTCTTTCCATTCCTGTGGCTCCACTCCCCTCCTCGGGGGGCTATAGCTATCAGTCCAGCGGGTACAACCCTGGTGTGTGGCAGCTGTCACACCTCCCTCATGCAGCAGTGGCAGAGCTTCCAGCTGGCAGATGTGCCTGTCCTCCAGCGCTTGTATGTAGTCCCCCTCAACCAGCCCACAAGCCATCCCTCCCAGCTGTCTCCCCCGGAGTCCATGGAGTGCTTAGCTGAACCCAGGGCTTCCCATGAGGCCTGTTTTCTCTGTGGTCAGGAGTGTGGAGGAGATATGAGAGTAGCATGTGCACAGGCTGGTGTTGGCAAATCCCGCGGTGCGATGTATTTTCCTTTCATCAACATGTTACCTTGCCCCCCTAACGCCCAAGGGGTGAGGAATGGCTGTGTACACTGCTGCCCACAGTGCCATTTTATCCTGGAGCAGATCTGGGGTGCATATCGACTCAGCCTTAGTGAAGACCTCATCACCTCTGTCAGCTCCTTCCTGGTCAGGTACCACGCTGCCATGGCCATTGAGGGGTCTGGACCAGCCCACTCCCAGACGGTTGTGGCCTCCCGCCCCAGCAGCTCCATTTCGGTGTGTTACCTGTGTGGAGCTGAGCTGTGTGGTGGAGAGTACCAGCTGCATGTCAATCCGCCTGGGCGTTGTGGAGAGAGGGAGCCTTTCTTCCCCTTTCTCACCGTCCACCCTCCTGCTCCCCATGCCAAACCAGTAGACGCCACAGGCCTGGTGTCAGCTTGTAATCTCTGCTACCATGACCTACACACCCAGTGGGCCCAACATGAGGGCCTGGGTCCCTCCAACCCTTCTAACTCTAGTTCATCTAGTGCCAACCCCCAGCCACCCAGCTCCCCTTGGGCCCGCCAGTACAGCTGTGAGGCTTTTGTGTGTTTCTTCTGCAGGAAGGAGCAGCGCAGGCAAGGTAGGCTGTGCGCTGTTACCGTGGCCAGGCTTCCTGTGTTCCTGTATGCACCTCGCAGCACACGCACGCTCCTGGTGGATGATGGGAGGACGTTGGTGATTGGCTCGTGTTTGGAATGTAAGGCCATGGTGCAGGTGGGACAGAGCATGCAGCAGGACAAGGAAAGGCTTGGACAAGGAGCCTCAGACGGGGAGAGGAAAGAACCAGAATCAGCCTCGCCGCAGTCTAGACACAAGGTAAGAAGTGTGATAGGATAGGACACACAGCCAAAGCGCTTCTTTTTCCCCCCATTGCTTCATCTTTGTCTAAATGCATTCATAAGCTTGGTTAAAATGACAGTCTGCCGTCAGCTTTTAATCCCCCCCTACATTCCCACAGTGCAGTGCAGACTGTGTTTGCCCTGATACGACCTCTGGGTCACATGGCAAGGGATGCTTTTGACATTTTGCATCGTGGAATCTGCTGTTGTAAAAAAAGGGAAACCATGGTGATTCAGATGATTATTTATGTGCTGTGTTTCAGTTGAATGCACTAATATCCTTGAAACTGCTTCCCATGTGGTCGAGCACTGTGTTCTACTATTTGCGGAAGAATAGTTCTCATAGTGTGTGTTTGTGTGTGTGTGTGTGTGTGTGTGTGTGTGTGAGTGTACGTGTGTGTGTGTGTGACTGGAGCTCACTTGGGGCCGCCGACACAGCTTGGATGAACAATGATGAGACAAACATTTTCATCAAAACTTACTTCTATAAACACCAGAGAAAAACTATGGGGATCCGACGGCCAAGGCCAGCCTGGTGTTTGCTCTGTCCATGTGTGTGAGAGTGTGTTTATTTGAGCAAGCATGACTGATTATGTCTCACCCTGTGCTGAAGAGTTTGTTTTGCTTTGAGCATGTTGAGGAACTTAGAATATTTTTCAAGGAAGTTAGTTTAAAGCAAGTCTAAAGTTAACATATTTCTTTTGATAATAACAATAACACAAGTGCAAAAAGAAGGACCTACCGGTAAATTGCTAATTGGACCAGTTTTACTAAATGTATAGAAGTCATATCCTCCAAATACTTTAGCTACAGTATATCATTCTGTTACCAGTCCCTGGTAAGCCTATGAGGCAGGGATTTGAACTGAGTCTAAGCGTTTGCTTAAGTCTCTATATGTAGAATAATAATCTCAATATTATATCATTCTCAAGTTATATATGACCAATTTAGACTAATAGAAATAGAAAAACCAGACTAACACATGAGTCAATTTGAGTTTATCTATTTCCATTAAGGCTTTTCCGCATTGGCTTCACTGAAATTACCATGATGACCTATAGGGGAGACTCAACCACGATAAGAAACATGACTCGCATTGAATTGCTCCAACTTTTCTTATGCTCAGACAGTCCTGGTAATGCATCATCATGATGTGTAGTCAGGAAATTAAGTGAATACACTCCTAAAAATATCAGGATAATCCCAACATTCGTGGATATATTGTCCTGTCAATAAAAATCAGTTGTATTTCTATCAACAAACAGATTGTCAAATATTGATATATTTAGTTAAACAATATAACTGATATCCTGTTGTTGCCATGAGACACTGATCTCCCCTAAAGTGAGTAGCAAGGGCATAATATGACCCATCTCCATACTAATAGTAATTTGGTTTCAAATCTGCCTATATTTGGCTAATTTGGCAGTGATGTGTGTTTAAAGACTTTATATATTACATTAGTGGGATGTGTTTTATTATTGTAATGGCCTCCATTCATTATCATGGCAAAGTACTGAATGTTAACAATGTAACAAGTGATTCGGATGAGTGACGATGCTTGTATAGGTGGTCCAGATGGGCTGGCACAGGGAGAAGTAAATCTATACACTTCCTCTCTAAAGAGAGATCATTCTGTGATCGTTTGCTTTCTTGCCTTTTTCTGTCTCCAAAGTTTGGGTTCTTTCCAGTCATCTCTCTAAAAACAACAACAACCATAAAATCCCTGCCATGCTGTTAAGAAGTTGATAGCAGAACCCTGCTTTTCCAATTGCAGAGAATAGACGTCGGAGGGTGTGGGGTTGTATCAGGGACCGGTGCAGGACAAGTGAAGATGATGATGTGTTGATGAAGAGCTGAGGAGCATTTAGACAGCCAGTTGGCTCTGTGAACAGCTCTCTCATGCAAACAGACACTAACTGTCCAGCCATGCAGGACACGTGAAGAACATCTGTGGATGCCATTCACACTCAGCAACCTCAGTATGTTACACACTCACACCAGCTGTCTGGAGTTGTCCACCTTATTTTCTCTCTGTCCTTCAAAGAAGTGTTTGACTGGTGGTTACTCTTATGGTCTCCAAAATGATCTCTTTAATATTTGTCCGAGCACTCGCATGTGAGCTCGTCCAAGATGAGCTCATAGTGCTCATTTGTGAGGGGATACTCGTGATATAGAGTATAATTATGGGACAAGCTTGTCTGCCAGCCCAAAGTCGGGGCATCATAGAGTGGGTGGGATGAGAGGGTTGTCGTTGCAGGCTGGGTTTCGGGTGTTCATTTTGGGCTGTGAGGGTTGCAGGTGGCACAGACAGTTTTGGCCTGAGTGAGACAGTGACCTCATGGCTGAAGAAGTGCCAGTGTGTGTTTCTGTGGGGAAGGGGAGGTGTGAAAGATCTGCGGGGGGAACAGGTGCTTTGTCCTCTGGTGTCATGCTATATGCTTGAGAGGGTCTGTCATCGCTGGGGTTTGGTCTGTCAGGAGGGAGTGCCCATCTGGTTCCTCCTAGCACTCTATCTGCCTGGTGGAGGGGGCTGCACAAAGATAAACACACTTGCATACAGTTTTTTATTCTCTTCTATTGTTATTGTGTGGCGCAGCAGTTTCTGTCAATGGCCCAAAACACAAAGCTGCAGAACAAAGACAGTTCCAGCAGTGAATTCATGTTTAATGATCAGAATTCAGAGACCTTAACCAAGACCAAGACATCGTCAAATTAAATGTCTGATTAAGGCTAGAATGAGATTACATCTTTTTGTCATCATACTGCTCGCTATGATGTAAACATTATTGTGCAGGTATGAATGCTTATCCTGTGAAGTGTGAAAGGATGGATGGTGCTGTCTCTTTTTCTGGCTTGGTAAGAAAATAATTTAATTTGCTTATGAAATGAGATCTGCCACAGGATACTAGCTGTTAACTGTAACACACACTCGCATGCATACAAATGTAAGGGACAGGTGGTTATCATGTTCTCTGTTCTGCTGCCGTGTGTTTAATTATTATGTTGGACATGACCTTTGACAGGTGTGTAAGTATAGACCACCAGCTGGCGTCTGGCGAGGGCCTGCTCGTCAGCAGATCTTTCACTTGCACTTTCAGATGTCCACCGTTTTGTGGTTGTTATAACTGCTGCTTGCACGTTGATGTGTTTTAAAGATTGTTTTAATGATACTTCTGCTTAATGAGATGGCAGCAGGATGGCATACTTAGAAAAGAGACATAGAAAGGGCCATAATGCATTTACTCGTCCTGCCTTTGAGCAACACAATGAAGGACAGTCCTTTGTGCCTGATTTCTGACATATTCTGCTCTTAAATAGGTGTTATTTATCAAACATCTGCAATGACGTAGAAGTAGTTTGACCCTCACTCAAAGCGCATCTCATGTGTGACGTGTGTGTCCAAAGTTAGTCTTTCCAACAGAGCTTCTCTCTTTGTTTTACTATCCCCTTGCTGTAGATCTACACTGAAACACTATGTGTGGAAAAAGAGGGACATTTTTAATTAAAAAAAAAGAGTATTCTTGATTAAACTCAAACTGCTGGAACTTCATTTTAGCTTCAGCTGAATTGTGGAATACCTTTTTGCCTTTTATCCATTAAGGCAATATGATACGTTTGTTCCTTTTAAATTTTGAAGGGACAGATTACTGTCAGAATAATCTGCATCTGAAGATAAATGGTGTGCAGGTACAGTAAGGGATGGTTGTGTGCAGGGGAGAAATATTGAATTTATCTCTATCCTTGCTCTGCGCTGTATGTTGAAGAGCAAGAAAAGCAGCTTCTAGGTAAACAAGGTGGCACTTTTTCAAACCTGTCTATCAATGACTGTTAATATTAGAGGTAAACGATGTCCTCATAATTGCATTGCAGATGCAGTTTCTTTTTTTCTGCCTGCTGATGTAACACAATTCCATTTTTCAACAGTGCATCATGGGCTCACCTTCACTGATAAAATGTGCCAGGAAGGCACATTACGCCGATAGCGTAATCATCTTTTACCTTTCTGCCATCAAACACAGTTGCTTAAGTTGGAAGTGCAAAGTGCGTAAATGGCAGAGCACAAAGTTGAACCCTTATGAGCACCAGGAGTGGGCTTGCATTCAAATATTTCCAAGAGAAATTTACTATGGATATCACTTTTTAAAAGCTTTAATCCAAGAAACGTGACAGATGCAGATAAATGAGAAAACAAGAACAAAAACATGGTGAAGAAATTATGGAATGGTCCAATGCTTAGGCCCTAAGTAAACTGATACCAGCGCTGCATAACTTTGTTGTTGTAAGGATTGGAATTGATTGCATGCCTTTGATATAGATGCGTATAATTGAAGCGTATAGCTAAATCCACAGTCTCCCTATAGTCAAAAGTGTGTTATCTGCTTGTACAAGAACATAAGGGACTAAAACAGCAAATACATCAATCATTGGTCAAGCCTTGCAAAGATAAATACTACATGATTGTACGTAGGTACAAAGCACACAAACACATTAAGCCTCTCTTACTTATACACACTCAGACTAATACATGTGTGTATACAGTGTGTGTGTGTGTGTGTCTGTATCCACGCATGGATGTTTGTTTTTGTATGGTGGTCTGTTGAGTGACTGTTTCGAGTGGATGATTATTGTTGACCTGTTAGAAAAGTGGAAAGAAGTTTCTGTGACTGAGTTCATCATTCAGTCGCTGTGTGTGTTTGTGTGTGGGTGTATATATATGCACGTGTGTGTGTGTATATGCGTGTTAGCATTGCTTGTGCTAAGGCTCATATTTTCTATGTCTAAGTGTTGCTCCTGCGTGTGTGTGTGTGTGTGTGTGTGTGTGTGTGTGTGTGTGTGTGTGTGTGTGCGTGTGTGTAAACTGTGTGTTGATGTGTGTTTGGTGTGAAAGATCGTCTGTGTTCTTAGTGCACGGCCCGCATCCTGTACAGGAGGTATTTGCTGTCACAGGAAAAATATGCCGGCATTTTGACAGTG